CCCTGGTAAGCCGAGTTCACCGCTGAGCTACTCTGACTGTAAAAACTTTTTTTCTAAAATCCAGGCAGTCCCTTCCCGCCCTGAATTTAAACCCATTCTTGCGAGTCCTCTCCTCTGCTGCCAACAGGAACAGCCCCCTGCCCTCCTCTAAGTGACAGGAACGATATACTGCACTGCCATCACAGAGAACATTCTTAATGGTTTACTGAATAATTGGCTGTTGATGTTTTAAACTAAATATTGTATGTTTTAACTATGCTGTGCGTCGCCCTGAGCACTCGGGTTTTGGGGGGGAGGCCAGTCTAGAAATTAAACAAATAAAATAAATAAATAAGGAGCGGCTGAAACAGCTCAGGGAGCAGCGCAAGTTGCCATTTATTACATGGCTCACGCAGCCCCAGGAAGCGCTTTGGAGCAGGAGCGTATGACTCACCTGGCTTAAAGAATAAAGGGTCGTTTTTGAAAATATTCAGCGACTCGATCACGTTATCGTATTTCTCCTTCAGGTAGTACTCTTCGTTCTCAAACTCCCTCTTCCTCCTTCCCCCTTTCGAGTTTTTGCCTTCGCGTTCCAGCTTGGGTTTCACACTCGCTTCCGAGTCTCTCTCTCCCGGATCGAGGTCGACGGCGCCCTTCTCCACTTTCAAAGCCCTGTTGAATTTTTCTTTCTCCTCCTTCACCTTGGCCATGTTTTTCTCGTAGTGACGGATTCCACTCAAATGGGAGGCGAGCAGTCTCGTGGTGATGGTGACCTGGGTTTTTGAGACAAGTGTGGACAGTCACGACCTAATCAGAGAACAAATGTAAAGGAAACAGTCGTGAGAGTCTGACTGACAGATCAAGCCGTCAACAAGACTTGCAAAGAAGATGCTTTCTGTATATTACGGCCAACAAGCACCACAACACAATAAACAAATTCCTTCAAATCGTAAGAAAATCCTAGTGCAAAGGTGCATTACCAACGTCGCCTCCGGATTATATAACAACGTTTCAAAATTGGATCTTCCTCAGGAAATATTATGAAAGATATTACATTCTAATGGGATCCATTAGACGCTTAGCAGCATTGCTGAGCCTGAATACTTACGGGGATCAGCGTCCTTTCTGAATGTATTATCTTTCATGACTTTTTGTAAAGCACTTTATGAGCAAGAGAGCTTTTGTATTACTCTAATATTTCCTGAGGAAGATCCAATTTTGAAACGTTGTTATATAATCCGGAGACGACGTTGGTGATGTATTTTCACACTAGGATTTTCTTACGATTTGAAGGAATTTGTTTATTGCGTTGTGATGCTTGTTGACCATAATATACAGAAAGCATCTTCTTTGCAAGTCTTGTTGACGGCTTGATCAGACTCTCACGACGGTTTTCTTTACATTTGTTCTCTAGGTTTTTGAGAGACATCAGCGCAAACGACTGTGGCGTGAAAGAAAAAGCGGGGAAATGACAGTAGCCCTGATTGATTTCCAGGGCTTAAGGGAAGACAGAAACATCACTGAACGATCCCCACGGAAGTCACCACGAGAGGTCCAGTGCAAAAACTGCCAGAGAGACCCTACCCAGTCAAGCAGTTACACTTCTCTGTCACAGAAGCTTCGAAAAACTGCCACCAATCCAGCACTTGGCACAGTGTTATGGTCAAGTGACTGTCTCGCTATCCCAGGAATCCCATCAGACCAGCCAAACGCTTTGGAACGGCTTCGTTTACCTTGGTCCCTTCATACTCCTTTTCAGGAAACTCCGGGACGTATTTCTGCACGGGCGCATCTAAGTCCAGCTTGCCCTCCTCCCACAGCTTTGCAGCGGCGACCATCGTAAGGGGCTTGCTGATGCTGGCGATCCGCAGGACGGTCTTCGGCTTGCAAAGGACCCCGTTCTCCAGGTCAGCGTAGCCCAGCCCTGCGAGGGAGGAGAGGAGGGGGCGACAGTTAGGGGACATTGTTGGCACTGCACTTCTTTAAGACCTCTGGAGGAGGAGGAGATTGGATTTCCACCCCGCCCTTCACTCGGAGTCTCAGAGCTGCTTACAAACTCCTTTCCCTTCCTCTCCCCACAGCAGACACCCCTGTGAGGTAGGAAAACCAGACAACCAGCGCTGACTGAGAGGCTGGAAAGCATAACTGCGCTGTGATTTTTTTTCCCATTAGAATTTAAAATATATATTTAAACACCACTTTTAAAAAAAAAGAACAAGAGATTGGACTCATACCCTGCCCTCCACTACCCGAAGGAGTCTCACAGCGGCTTACAATCTCCTTTCTCTTTTCACAACAGGCACCCTGTGAGGTAGGTGGAGCTGAGGTAGGTGTAAGGTAGGTGTGACCTTGGGTCAGTTACAAGTTCTCTCAGAGCTGTTCTCTCATGAGCAGTTCTCTCAGAGCTCTCTCAGCCTCAGCTACCTCTCAAGGTATCTGTTGTAAGGAGAGGAAGGAAAGGAGTTTGTAAGCCGCTCTGAGACTCCTTCAGGTAGTGAAGGATGAGGTATAAATCCAACCACCACCTCCCCCTCTTCTTCTTCTTCCTCTCTCTCTTTCTGACTGAGCTACTAGGTTCCACTGGAAACTGCCAAGCCAAGCACCGGATGGGTCACTGCACGGAACCAAGGATGTGTTGGATCATACAAATCTAAAGCAACGGGCCCCCCAGCCCTGGAGTAGCCATTAGGCAAAATAAGCACACACTTAGGGGCACCAAGAGAATCTCCCCTCCCCCAGCTATCACGCCCTTAACCCTTTCACTGCCACATTCAACTTCAGTCACTTATTTTGTAATTGTCCTTATCTGCCATGTCGGACTTTAATTTGCATTGTTAAAAGATGTTTTCTTTGGCATGGTGGATGCCTAAAATTTAAAAGTCTGGTTTGAAGGTGTCATTGTCAGATGCCACTTTTTAAAAAGGTTGTATTCAGGAGGGGCCGTGGCTCAGTGGCAGAGCCTCTGCTTGGCATGCAGAAGGTCTCAGGTTCAATCCCCGGCATCTCCAGTTAAAAAGGACTAGGGAGTCCATGATGGGAAAGACCTCCGCCTGAGACCCTGGAGAGCTGTCAAGAGGGGCCGTGGCTCAGTGGCCGAGCCTCTGCTTGGCATGCAGAAGGTCTCAGGTTCAATCCCCGGCATCTCCGATTTAAAAAGGACCAGGGAGTCCATGATGGGAAAGACCTCCGCCTGAGACCCTGGAGAGCTGTAAAGAGGGGCTGTGGCTCAGTGGCAGAGCCTCTGCTTGGCATGCAGAAGGTCTCAGGTTCAATCCCCGGCATCTCCAGTTAAAAAGGAACAGGCAGGAGGTGATGTGAAAGACCTCCGCCTGAGACCCTGGAGAGCTGTAGAGAGGGGCTGTGGCTCAGTGGTAGAGCCTCTGCTTGGCATGCAGAAGGTCCCAGGTTCAATCCCCAGCATCTCCAGTGAGGAGGACCAGTAGCGGTAGGTGATGTGAAAGAGGACTTGAAGAGCCGCTGCCAGTCTGAGTAGACAATATTGACATTGATTGACAAAGGGTCTGATTCAGTAGAAGGCAGTTTCATATGTTCCTATTTAATACAGTTGTGGGGTCCCGCCTCGAAGAAAACTGAATTTTTAACCTGTATTTCACTTTCAGCACTTATTGGGTCAGTTACACAATGGGAGGGCCGAGAGGCACCACAGTTCGGCTGTGTTTAGGACATCAGTCGGCCATAATCTGGTCCCGAGACCCTCCCTCCATTATCGCTCCCTGCCCGGCAATTCCCACATGTCGGCTGTGTTGGCAGTATTTGTCATTCACTGCTTTACATATTACACAATGATGCTTTTGGAGAAGAGAAAACACGCCACAAGCCTTAACAAGACAATTAAAAAAAAATTAAACAGGCTTGCCTTCTGACCACACTTCCTTCCCGTCGACGGCCACACCGACAACTATGCCTGGGGCTCCCACTTCATCCTGTCAAAATATAAGACCGTTTCAGATCGCCGGTTTTGTCAAAATCCCCCCTTCCCACCCATAACTCAGAAGCAACTAAGCCCTGCCAAACCTCATTGTGGCCAGATCTCCTTGCCGACGTCACAGCATGCCCTAATGCACTAGAGTGACAAACGGAGGCAGTGGAGATGAGGCTTGCAGTGTGGTTTCTTGCGGCTTCAGGAATCCTTACCCTGGGTCACCCTTGGCCCCACATACCACAGTCCCTATATATGGCACCTGGTACTTTTTGGCCACTGTGTGACAGTGTGTTGGACTGGATGGACCATTGGCTTCTCTTATCCGCTATTACCTTAAGAGAGCCTGAATGGGTGGAATGGGACACCAAATCCCCCCACCATGCTTCAAAGAGTTCCTGGACAGGCAATGCAGCAGCTCTTTCACCAAAGGCACTCTGTGCATGCCAAGGAACACTTTGTCCTACATGCTTTTTAAATTAGAAGCTAGCGTGGTGTAGCAGTTAAGAGTATCAGACTACGGTCTGGGAGACCCAGTTTTGAACCCCCAACTCTGCCATGGAATCTCGCTGGGGGACCTTAGGCCAGGCACACACGCTTGGGAGTACCCTACCCCGCAAGGCTGTCGTGAGGATAAAACAGAGGCGAACAATGAAAACGGCAGGGTAGAACTGCAGCAAATACAGTAAGAAACAAAGTAGTTGTTTTTCTGGGAAAGGGAGCATTTCATCCTGAGATCCCTTAAAAAGCTTTTTTTTAAAAAAAAGAACTTTCCTTTGGTTGGTTAGAAATCCTATAGATAAGGCATCTTATCTATAGGATTTGTAAGATTTAAAGTGGCTTTAAAGGGCCTCTCCCCTCTAAGGGGAGTGGAAATTTGAATACTGACGCTCTTGGGCAGTGTTCCCTCTAAGCTGAGTTAGTGTGAGCTAGCTCACGGTTTTTTAGCCTCTGGCTCACACATTTTTTGTCTTAGCGCAGGAAGAATGGCTTCAGAGCCAACTAATTTATGCAGTTGCCAAATGGCTCGCTCACAACAGTAATGCCAGTAGCTCACAAAGTAAAATTTTTGCTCCCACTATACATTACTATATAGTTGGAGAAAAGGGAGGGACAAGAAATCAGAATATAATTTATCATCCTCAGCTTTTTAACATTTTACCTATGTTGAGGCCACAATTCTGATCTTTGATATATAGAACAAGTATAGGGTACTGTCCCAACTCAATTACAGTTAATTTCTCAGTATATCAATGAACTTAATAAAAAAATTTTAAAAGCGCACCGAATTATGAACTGCTTAGGGTCACGATTTTAAAATAACATGTATGACTCTTTTTCTTGAACGCTTTATATGGCTCGCTTTGTATTACTTCAGACTATCTTATTAGTTTCCCTTTAGAAAGACAGATGTATAACTATAAAAAACGAACGCATAATAAAAATATATACATGAATAGTGACTCTCATAGAATCATAGAACGTTAGAGTTGGAAGGGACCTTAAAGGCCATCTAGTCCAACCCCCCGAACTCTGCAGGAGCAGAGCCGAAAGGCAGCTACAATGTCTCCCTATCATCTCTGTGATTATTTCAGGAGGGGCCACCTTTTAGCACCAGGTCATACAGACTCGCCATCAGTTCTTAAAGGGATCTTTTAAAATCCTTCCCTGCTCCATAGAACCTCTCCTAGGCGGCCTGGAAGAAGGGGAGGTGGGATGCAACTCTGCACATGCTCAGGAGCTCTAAAGCGCCTCTCTTATACCCGGAATAAAGAACTCTGCACATGCCCATGGGACCCCCCTCGCGTCCCCACCCCACCTTGATCCTGCAAAGGAGCTCCCTGCTGCTGCCCACCGCCCTGTTGCACATGCTCAGGAGCTCTAAAGCGCCTCTCTTATACCCGGAATAAAGAACTCTGCACATGCCCATGGGACCCCCCTCGCGTCCCCACCCCACCTTGACCCTGCGAAGGAGCTCCCTGCTGCTGCCCACCGCCCTGGCGAAACGGGTG